TGGTGGTCAACTGTGTCACGGGGGGTGGCAGCAACGGCTGCTACGGAGGCGACCCCACGGCAGTCTACGCCTGGGTACGACCCTTCAACCCTTCCTCCTTCTCTGGAAAACAAACTCCTTTGTTTTTGTCAAAAGTGATTTCAACACAGCTGGAAATCTTACATGATTTCTCGTGTCAGATAATTTCTCTTTTCTCCTCTGTCATTTCGTTTGAACGTTTCTACCTATGTGTGTGTGCGTGTGTGTGTGTGTGTGTGTGGTGTGTGTGTGGTGTGTGTGTGGTGTGTGTGTTGTGTGTGTGTGTGTGCGGTGTGTGTGTGGTGTGTGTGTTGTGTGTGTGTGTGTGTGTGGTGTGTGTGTGTTTTTGTGTATGTGTGTGTGCGCGCGTGCGCATATTCACATACATATATGCATATGTGTGAATGTGTGTGAATGATTGCAAATGCATGCATGTGTTGTATGCATGCGTGTGCACATGTCACCTGATATGGATACAGGCAATGGAGAACGCCATTCCAGATGAGAGCTGTGCCAATTACGAGGTGAGAAATGTGATTATAGTGAGGAAAACAAACTCACAACCACCACAACCACCACTGTGCGGACATGCCATGCTCTCTTGTGGTGCGACGACACACATTCTATGCCTTCGCGCTACAGCTTGCTCTCCTGCCCTCACATCTCTTGCCTGCTCCTCCCCCTTCCCCCCGCTCCGTGTCGCCTATCCTCCCATTCCCTGCCGCCGCGTGCGCTGCCCTCACATCCCATGAGCTCTCGTTCTTCTGCCTTCCCATTGGCTGCCGCACTGGCAGGCACGCAACAAGGAGTGCTCACGCATCAACACATGCTTCGACTGTTCGCCTGAGGGTGCATGCCATGCCGTCAAGGTGCAGAAGCACAGGCCTTGCCATTATTGTGTGGTTTTTTTCTCTGCTGCCGTGATGTTTCTGTTTTTTTTAGAAAGTTCAAACAACAGAAGCACATGCTTTGTCATTGACGCATAGTTTACTTCTCGTCCGTTCTGTGCTCTATTACTAGCTCGTTCTCCATGCACCCCCCTCCCATGCGCGTCTCACGGACTTCCCATGACCATCCATGCCATGCCATGCGGAGGTACCCACCGGGATATGTTCAACTCGTGCTGCCCATGCATGCCCCGTGCTTGTCTCCCCACCCCTCCACTTATTTGCCGTGCGAGGATGTGGAGGAGCATGGCACAGCCACTCATGCCTGTTCCATGTCATACCCAATGCATGTCGCCCCATGCACCCCCTTTATACCATGCAGAAGTACCCACGGGTGTATGTGGTGTCGCACGGACCAGCCACTCATGCATGTCCCCACGCATAACCCATGCATGTCATTCCTTCCATCCCCCTCCCGCCATGCAGAAGTACCCACGGGTGTATGTGGAGGAGCATGGCACAGTGCAGGGCGAGGCAGATATGATGGCCGAGGTGAGAGGTGGTGAGAGGGGTGTGAGGTGAGAGGTTGAAGGGAGGGTGGTGAGGATGGTATATTGAGACGTCTCACAGCATGGCACAGTGCAGGGCGAGGCAGATATGATGGCCGAGGTGAGAGAGGAGTTCGAGAGGGTGGTGAGAGGAGGTGCGAGGAGTGAGGGTGGTGAGAGGAGGTGCGAGGGGTTGAGAAGGAGTGAGGGGTGCAAGAGGGGTTGAGGGGATGAGAGCGGGGTGACAGTGGGAGTGACATGGGGGCTAAGAGGGTGGAGAGAGGGTGGAGGGTTGAGGAAGTGATGATGTACGAGGGAGGTGGGAATGGCTTAGTAGCTCCTTACATGCATCATCCATTCTATTTCCTCTTCTCACCCCCTGCTCTGCTCACCCCCCCTTGCCCTGCTCATCCCCCCTTGCCCTGCTCATCCCCCCTTGCCCTTCTCATCCCCCCTTGCCCTGCTCATCCCCCCTTGCCCTGCTCATCCCCCCTTGCCCTGCTCATCCCCCTTTGCCCTGCTCATCCCCCCTTGCCCTGCTCATCCCTCGCCCCTCGGCTTTTTCCCCGCACCCCGTGTGCCACTCACCACAGATTGCGGCGCGTGGCCCCATTGCATGCGGCATTGCAGTGAACGACGACTTCTACAAGAACTACAAGTGAGTGTTTGGGGGCCAGATGTGCGTAGATGTACGAGTGAGTGTGTGGTGGTGTGGTTTGAATTGACTCAATACACACCCCGTTGTATACGGCATAGTGGTGAACGACGACTTTTGCAAGAACTACAAGTGAGTGTGTGCAATGGGCAGAGGAGAGGAGCGGTATCAAGTGTGCAGTGGTGTGGTTGGAGTGTGCGGTGGGCGAGAGAGGTGCCAAGAGTGTGTGCGGTGGGCGAGAGAGGTGCCAAGAGTGTGTGCGGTGGGCGAGGTGATCACCATGGGGGGGGGCCTGGTGGGGCGCTTGAGGTAATGCCATGCGCTTTCTACCCCTGCTAATGCCATGCGCTTTCTACCACTGCTAATGCCATGCGCTTTCTACCACTGTCAATGCCATCTTACCTTCCCCGCCACCCTGTCCTTCTCCCCAGGGGCGGCATTTACAACGACACCATGGGCTTCCTTGATGAGGGCCATGTGTTGACTCTGGGTGGCTGGGGTACCATTCCTGATGCCCCTCCCCCTTGCCTGCTGCTAATGCCACTTCTTCCCCCCTTGCTGCCGTCTTCCCTTGCCTGTTCTGTCCCTCGCCAGGGGCGGCATTTACAACGACACCACGGGCTTCGTAGACGTGGACCATGTCATCACTGTTGGCGGGTGGGGCACCACGCCTGAGGGTGTCAAGTACTGGATCGCCCGCAACTCATGGGGCACGTACTGGTGAGAGCGCGGGGGGGGTGAGAGTGAGAGCTGGGATAGGCTTCCTTGATGTGGACCATTTAATTCCTGTGGGGGGCTGGGGCGCCTCCCCTGACCTCCGCTGATGGTGTCAAGTACTGGATCGCCCGCAACTCATGGGGCGCGTACTGGTGAGAGCGCAAGGGGGGGAACGAGAGTGAGACCTGGGATAGGCTTCCTAAGCGTGGACCATGTTATCGATTTGGGGTTTGGGGGCACCACCCTTGAGTGGGTTACTGGTGAGAGTGAGAAGGGGAGTGAGGTGGGAGAGCGAGTTGGGCGATGATGGTTAGTGGCGAGCGTGTCGTAGTCAGTGCCAGAGCCTCGTGCAATGCTGCATGCAACAAGCTGACGAACTGTTGTACTTGCGTGCAGGGGGGAGAACGGCTGGTTCCGCATCGTGCGAGGCACCAACAACCTTGCCATTGAGAGTGGATGTGATTGGGCGGTTCCCAAGGTCGTGTGGGAATGAAGGTTGTTGTGCGTGCATTTGTGAACGCCCACCGAGTATGAAACATGTTCAGTGTGTAGATCTATTGTGCAGAAGTTCGGCTTTTTAGACAGTTTCATCACACTCCGTGCGCAATGCTTTGAAAAGACTCAGGGAGATACTGAACAAGGAAGCCTGTTTCCCCCGCTATAAGACTCTAGTTGCAGGCCTATCCATTTGTGGTGGAAGAGGGACCATACGCCATCCACCGTGCCTACACAATTCGAGTCTTCAGACAACGATTGCGGAGTTCAGTACGGTGAACAGTTCCGTCAGTCAAGTTTCTTCCTTTGCGCCAGGGCCAACCTGCTGTCCTTGTCTCCAGTGACTGAGTACACACAGCCCTCGCCAATTTCACTAGGGCCAATTTCACCCCCCTGTGTATTCGTTTTTAATTTCCCCAAATTTGAGTCTTGTTTCGAAAAATTTGGTTTTAAGGAAAGCAATGACTGGACTGCGCAAATGAGTCAGCGGAAATTACCAAAAAAATACATGGTCGCAGCGGAAGATTCAGTCTTTGCGTTGCGGTCTCAACGTCAGACGGGGCAACATCGAAACTTACAATGCCTTGGATAGCCTCTGTTTCGTGGGTGTCTGATACCTATAGCCAGAAAAGGTCAGTTTGGTTTTAAGGAATAACTGCCGAGGACTCGGTGTACAGTTCAGATCAGCTTGCCTTGCAACCTGAGCCTGCCGAGGCTCAGAGAACGTGTACAGGCCTAGGCTTGTCCTCCCCGCAACCGAGCGCCGAACCCCAATCAATCCCCCATCGCGCATACGGTACGGCCGGACTCAGACCCCCGCGAGCAGAAAAAGTCCGAAGCAGTTTCGGTTCGGGGTGTGCGAGTCAACAGAAATGCCTGAAGGCGCCAAGGCTTACGGGGGTGTGTGATTGTTTCCAAAAGCTCGGGCGTGGTCAGGAAGGAGGTACGGTGGAGCCAGCCTAGAGCTTCGTTTCGGCGAGGCTGATGGTTTGGTGCAAGGCCCGAGGGCTTTTGCAGGGTCTGGAAAAAAAATAAAATGTTTGTAAGACTTGTGACTTTCCTGCACATTCTCAGGCCCTGGGATCGCTTTGTGATTTTCTGGCGGCTTTCAAAAACGCGGCATTGTACAGAAACAGATGGGTTTGTATGGTGACAACGACGATCATTCATATGTTTTATTTGTCGTTCTTTGCAATTGGCAGCCTCGAAGCTCCACGAGCACCAGACCCCCAACACTAAGACCCAGATAGCGCCCCGAAAAGTCGAATTTCTGGTTACACTATATTCTACCGCGAGCCATTGAAATCAACTTTGTAAAGAGCGCAACAATTACTTGCAATACGTTTAGTGTCAACTCAGGAAGCGTACTAGTTGAAATGACCAAATTCGTACTGTAGTCTCCTGAGTTTAGGCATGTGCACATGCACCTTTCTACATGGTAGTATGCTGCACAGACACCCTTGCTACGATAATTACGCATTGCCCGACGTAAAGCAGGAGTATACATTTGACGAAGAAAAGAAAAGAAAAGAGAAAGGGAGAAAGGAAAGTGAAACCGCCAAGAAGAACCCAAATGCAACACACATAAAACCCCCCCCTCAAGATACCCAATCAAAACGCCCAGTCAAGACACCCTGTCAAGACATCCCATCCCACACCCCATTTCCTCCCCCCCCCCAATCACAACAGCAAATCCACCATGTACGGGGCCTCCACCCAGAGAGCCCCGCCTTCCGCATCGCCATCGTCCCACTCCCGGTCCACCAAGTCAACGTTAATCCCCCCCATAGAAGACGCCGCTCGGAGCAGGATGACACGGGCTTGCGCGCGTTGCAACGCCACCCCGATGAGCGCCTTCAGTGACCCTAGAAGATAAGCCGAAAACACAGTGTCGTCCTCCCGAAAACCCCCCCGGGAGACAGCTAGCCCCACGTGCGCATCTCCCTGCTGACGAAGCCACCTCCGAAAGCGACCGTCGAGACACCCCCACGTCTCCACTATCATAGGAGTGAACTGCACGCCCCGGTTGCGTGCAAGCAGAGACGCGTAATCGCTCGTTTTACGACGCTCCCATTCTCTTGCCGCCACGCCTATTTGACGCCCGCACTGTCCTAGCAAAGATGGAGACAGCGATAGCGGGTCCGCGACGCTGATCTCCAGGGCGTGAGCCTCTCCAGCCATTGGTCGTCGCACCGCCACATCAACCCGCTTCCCCTGCAGCACCACACTATCCTCCATTGTCACCACCCCCCCAGACGCCTTAGAGATCTTCGCCACCGCAAACTTCACCTCATCATGTACCCGAGATGGACCATGCTTGTGCTTGCATCTCAGGGCATGATGCGGGTCTGCTGAGTCAACATATGCTGTGCCACAAACACACCTCCCCGCCACCTGCAGCTGCTGAATTGGGAGCCCGAGCCGTATAGCAGCAGCAATGCCCCACTCCGCCGCAGTGAATGTGAGATCTGAGTGAGCCGGAACCGCCGAAACCCATGCACCAGCCCCCGGGCCCTGAAGGGATGTGAAACGGGCCAGGGTGGCATCGTCACGAGCCGAGCGACGCAGTGTCTGGAGCTCCTCTACCGCCAACAACCGCTGCCGCGCCTGGAAAAGCCGAAGAGGAGGGGCCGCTACGCACAGAGGTAAGCCCGGCATCTCCTGGCGTATAGTCGCAGGCAGCTGCTCAAGAGCCTTGGCAAACCACGGGTCAAGAAACTTCACCCCTGCCGAAGTGGTGAGGTACTCCGCAAACATCGCCTCCTCGCCCGCCACCCCCAACTGTGCAATATCACGCGCGGCCTGTGCCCACCCACAAACATAGGACAGCGGACTCAAAGAGGCTGCTGCCCGGATCCCAAACCCTCCGAGTCGCACAGGGAGATGCAGCTGCATGCGCGCGCGCCTAGACCGGTCGGGGTCATGCTCCCAAGTGCCAGGTGGGAAAAGCTACTCAAAGCAATCCTCCAGACAGCTATCCTAATCCCTGAAAGCCTCCGCCACCTCCGGACGCGGCAGCATAGTCCGGGCCAGGTACATCGGCCGTGCTGAAACTGCAATGGCGAGGAGATGTGAAGCCATCTGGGGGTGGTCGAGCAGGGGGAGCCATGGCAATGGCGCCTGCAACTGTCTAAGCCGCTCCCGTAACCGGGTCACCTCCCAACCCTCCTCCCCAATAGGTACGCCCACCACAGTGAGACCCTCCTCCACCCGCTGCATCCCCAATGGCAGTGCCAGCTCCACATCCCCGCCCTCGCTCTCCCAAAACCGGCACTTGTGCGCCTGCACCTCCAGCCCCACCCATTCCAACCGCTCCCGCAGCACCCCAAACGCCTCTAGAATCCTAGCCGCCGGTCCCAAGATATAGGTATCGTCTGCGTAGCTCAGAAAAGTAGGTCCCTGAACTCTCTAGTCACCGACTCCATCACCTGCTGCTGCGTGAACGCGAAAAGAAAAGGGCCGAGCGGGTCCCCCTGCCGCGATCCTCGTGCCGACTCAAGGCTCTGTACAAAAGGGCCCGCTCGGAGGTACAGATCGCTAGGTGTCCCGTAGAAAACACGTAAGAATGGGATCAACCTTGAGAAAGGCGACTCCCGCAGCCCCTCAAACATCGCATGACGGTGAAACGAATTGAAGGCGTTCGCGACATCTATCTGCAGCGCACACCAGTCGGGGTGAGTAGCCAGCGCTGACCGGAAAGAATGGGTAAGAATCTCTACCCCGGCCCTGGTGCCCGCTCCCAGCTGGTTGCACGGCAGAAAGTAGGAAGCCATCCCAGGGCGGAGCGAGATGCAGAGAGCTCGAGCAAGGATACGCGGAAGCACTTCCCCAATCGCGACCGGCCGGACGTCGCCGTTAGGCTTGGAATGCCCAACTAGGTTGGATGCGGCGAGCCAGGGCCGAGCCCGCTCGGGGACCTGTCCCGCCACCCATTGGTTGAACACCTCCAACCGGTGGGAAAGGCAGGAAGGTTCAGTGAGGAAGGTGTCGCGCAGATGCTCCGTGACCCACCCCGATGGCCCTGCTGCTGAAGCGCGAGCGGCTGTATGGATAGTTCTGGCCAGGATGTCGGTCGTGAGTGGAGGCCGCTGAGGAGCATCGACGGTGAAATCACGGACCCACTGTGGTACCTCGCTAGTGCTAGCAGGGTGCTTCTCTCGCAGCGACTGCACCATGGCCTCAGACGACCGGGCCAACTCCCCTGCCGTAAGGCAAGCCAATCCTTGGCTCCACTCTCCCACTTTACACCGAGATCGGCACCGTGACAGGCGGATGGCATCCGGGTCCTGGTCAGAGCAAGTGTAGGCAAGTGGGCGTACTGCTGGCCGCGCCGCCACCATGGCGGAGTCAAACAGCTCCCGCCACCTCCCCTCCCAAAACGCCCCCAACCGCTCTATGATCAGCGCCTTCTGTCCTATGCCTGGCTTGGGAGGCACGGCTAGGATGAGGCGCGGAAAAGCCAAGAGTAGGAGGGTGGCGGCTTCATCCCCCGGCCGGCTCTTCAAACGCTTTAAGACGCAACAGAGCACGTCTAAGACCCCTGACCGAGCCCGCTGTGGGATCCGGCGCACTGTCCTCCCTCCAACCGCCTCCACACTGAAAAATGCTTCCCATTCCCAAGACGTAACCCCGGCCCACGCCTCGTCCCCAAATTCCCGCGGCGTCGGTCGCTCCTGCGTGTCGGTCTCCACCAGTGACGGGGTCGAGCCAAGTGCCTGCGCGCGCCTCTCCGCCTCAGCCGCCCGGCATACCCTCATGTGGTTCGCAGCAGCCCCTCGCGTAGCGAACGTGTGAAAACACGTGTCACACGGAAAACGAGGGCATGGGGAAGGCTGCATGGGAGGTTCTTCGTCCGCCTCTGACTCCTCCGCAGTCGCCATGGGGGTATCAAACTCCAAAAGTCGGCACCACTCCTCCAACTGCTGCTCCCGGTCGTCCAATGACTGCCCCCCTGGCTGCTGCTCTATCTGGGGTGCTCCGGTCACCCCCGGCTGCCCCCCTGGCTGTAGCACTCCCAGGGGTGCTCCGGTCGCCCCCGACTGCCCCCCTGGCTGTAGCACTCCCTGGGGTTCTCCGGTCACCCCCGGCTGCCCCCCTGTCTGTAGCACTCCCAGGGGTGCTCCGGTCACCCCCGGCTGCCCCCCTGGCTGCTGCTCTCTCTGGGGTGCTCCAATCGCCCCCAGCTGCTCCCCTGGCTGTAGCGCTCCCTGGGGTGCTCCTGTCACCCCCGACTGCCCCCCTGGCTGTAGCACTCCCAGGGGTGCTCCGGTCACCCCCGGCTGCCCCCCTGGCTGTAGCACTCCTTGGGGTGCTCCGGTCACCCCCGGCTGCCCCCCTGCCTGTAGCACTCCCAGGGGTGCTCTGGTCACCCCCAGCTGCTCCCCTGGCTGTAGCACTCCCAGGGGTGCTCCGGTCACCCCCGGCTGCCCCCCTGGCTGTAACACTCCCTGGGGTGCTCCGGTCACCCCCGGCTGCCCCCCTGGCTGTAGCACTCCGTGGGGTGCTTTGGTCACCCCCGGCTGCCCCCCTGGCTGCTGCTCTCCCTCGGGTGCTCCGGCCACTCCCGGCCGCCCCCCAGGCTGCTGTGTTCTCTGGGGTGCTCCGGTCACTCCCGGTTGCCCCCCAGGCTGCTGTGTTCTCTGGGGTGCTCCGATCACCCCCGGCTGCCCCCCTGGCTGTAGCATTCCCAGGGGTGCTCCTGTCACCCCCAGCTGCTCCCCTAGCTGTAGCGCTCCCTGGGGTGCTCCGGTCACCCCCGGCTGCCCCCCTGGCTGTAGCACTCCCAGGGGTGCTCCGGTCACCCCCAGCTGCTCCCCTAGCTGTAGCGCTCCGTGGGGTGCTCCGGTCACCCCCGGCTGCCCCCCTGGCTGTAGCACTCCCAGGGGTGCTCCGGTCACCCCCAGCTGCTCCCCTGGCTGTAGCGCTCCCTGGGGTGCTCCGGTCACCCCCGGCTGTCCCCCTGGCTGTAGCACTCCCCGGGGTGCTCCGGTCACCCCCGGCTGCCCCCTTGGCTGCTGCTCTCTCTGGCGTGCTCCAATCGCCCCCAGCTGCTCCCCTGGCTGTAGCGCTCCGTGGGGTACTCCTGTCACCCCCGGCTGCCCCCCTGGCTGTAGCACTCCCAGGGGTGCTCCGGTCACCCCCGGCTGCCCCCCTGGCTGTAGCACTCCCAGGGGTGCTCTGGTCACCCCCGGCTGCCCCCCTGGCTGTAGCACTCCCCGGGGTGCTCCGGTCACCCCCGCCTGCCCCCCTGGCTGCTGCTCTCTCTGGGGTGCTCCTATCGCCCCCAGCTGCCCCCCTGGCTGTAGCGCTCCGTGGGGTGCTCCTGTCACCCCTGGCTGCCCCCCTGGCTGTAGCGCTCCCAGGGGTGCTCCGGTCACCCCCGGCTGCCCCCCTGGCTGTATCACTCCCTCGGATGCTCCGGTCACCCCTGGCTGGCCCCCGGCCCTCTGCCCTCCCTGTCGTCGCCCCCTTCGGCGCCGCGCCCGCGGCCTTTCTGCTTGGCCCGTGCCGCCCGGGCTAGTGACCCCCTGCTGGTCCTGCACTTGCAACTCCTGCGACTCCCCCATCGGCAACCCCTGTTGTACGCTTCCAGTCAAGGGCTGGTTGGCCTCATGACACCCTTGCCGCCGCCCTTCCTGCGACTGGGGTTGATTCCCAATTTGACTCCCCTCCTGCACGCCTACCGGCAGCTCCCCTCGCGCCTCCTCTTGTGGCTCCTCCATCTCCACCTCCAGCTCATGCAGCTCTTGCTGCTCCCCCGCCTGCAGCTCCTGCTGCCCCCCCGCTTGCAGCTCCTGCTGACCCTCCTCTTGCAGCTCCTGCTGTCCCCGCGACTGCAGCTCCTGCCGTCCCCCCGCCTGCAGCTTCTGCTGCCCCCCAGCACGCAACTCCTGCTGCTCCCCGGCCCCCTGCTCCACCTACATCGCCTCATGCGCCTGCCGCCCTCCGGCCGGCTCCTGCTGCCCCCCCACCTGCAGCTCCTGCTGTCCCCCCGCCTGCAGCTCCTGCTGCCCCCCCGCCTGCAGCTCCTGCTGCCCCCCCGCCTGCAGCTCCTGCTGCCCCCCCGCCTGCAGCTCCTTCTGCCCCCCCGCCTGCAGCTCCTGCTGCACCCCCGGCCACTCGTGCTGTCCTCTGGGCCGCAGCTCCAGCCCCTCTCCAGCCCGCCTCGCGCAGGGTCTTTCCTGCAGGGCTCCGGGCGTGCGCCTCCGTTCCTGTCGTTGGGCCAAACGTGGGCCGCGCAGTGTCGGGATGCCGCGTTCGGTGAGGGCGGAGCCCACCAACGAAGTGCCGAGGGCATGGCGACGCCTGTCGTGTGTCTCCTGCAAACGCTGGCGGTGTGCTTCCCATGCTGCCATCGCCGCATCAGGGGCAATGCTCTGCCTAAGCTCCCCGTGTACCTGTTCGCCCTCTTCTGTGACCACCCCGCCTTGATTGGGGCAATTATTGCTGCCGACTGCGGGGCTGCCCGGAGTGTCTTCAGAGTGTGCCTCCGTCCTCACCTCCGTCGAAAGTGATCCGCACCGTTGGCGTTTGCTGGGCGTGCCTAAGAGGCACTGCTCTTGACTGTGGTGTAGGATACGGAGATGTGGGTGTTGTGTGTCTAGTGCCGTCTCTCTGAGCCTCTTGGGGCCAGACTCCGACGGGCGCTTCCATCCCCTGGTTGCTGTCCTCTCCTCCACGTCGCCCTGGAGTTCCCCTGTTCGCCTCGGGTCTCCCCAGGGCGGCGCCGGGCGGCCTCGGTCAGGGGGTTTGGGGTTGTTGTTCATGGCGACCAGCGCTTGCACGCTGCTGGGCACTGGCGGGTTTCACGCTGCTACGCGCTGTTCGGTCGGATTTAACGCTGCTAAGGGCGGATTTAACGTTGCTAAGGGCAGATTTAACGCTGCTAAGGACGGATTTAACGCTGCCAAGGACGGATTTCTCGCTGCTAAGGGCAGATTTCGCGATGCTAAACGAAGATTTCACACTGCTAAGGGCGGATTTCGCGCTACAGGGGGCGGATCGTGCTTCTAAGGGCGGGTACCGCGCTGCCCAAGGCGTCCTGGCGCTGCTGAGGCTAGATCGCACTGCCTGGTGGCGTCGGGGCGCTGCTAAGGGGCGATTTCGCGCTGCCTAAGGCGTCCTGGCGCTGCTGAGGCTAGATCGCGCTGCCTGGTGGCGTCGGGGCGCTGCTAAGGGGCGATTTCGCGCTGCCTAAGGCGTCCTGGCGCTGCTGAGGCTAGATCGCGCTGCCTGGTGGCGTCGGGGCGCTGCTAAGGGGCGATTTCGCGCTGCCTAAGGCGTCCTGGCGCTGCTGAGGCTAGGTCGCGCTGCCTGGTGGCGTCGGGGCGCTGCTAAGGGGCGATTTCGCGCTGCCTAAGGCGTCCTGGCGCTGCTGAGGCTAGATCGCGCTGCCTGGTGGCGTCGGGGCGTTGCTAAGGGGCGATTTCGCGCTGCCTAAGGCGTCCTGGCGCTGATGAGGCTAGGTCGCGCTGCCTGGTGGCGTCGGGGCGCTGCTAAGGGGCGATTTCGCGCTGCCTAAGGCGCTGCTAAGGAGCGACAGACCGTTTGTGAGGTTCAAAGGATGACCGCGCATGGGCGGTGCTGGCAAGGAATAGAGATTGAAAATTCTGAAAAGGAAAACAACATGCCATTGTTGTAATATCCTTGTCAACTCAGCCATCCATACTAGGGGCGCGCTCCTATCCCGTGTCAGACACGAATGCAGACACGAAGTTGAGGCTGGGAAGACCCAAAGGGACTCTGAATGCTGGCAAATTTAGGTTCGGAAGACACAAACCGAGTCACTTTGTGTCTTCCGAAGCTTGACCTGAAGTCTGACGGGATAAAAAACACACCCTAGGTTCCATCGTGTGCCAAAGAAACACGGGCTTGCGGTTTGCGAAGTGTTGCATTTTGGGTTGCGTAGCAAGCAACCCTATAGATCGATTTCACTTTCTCCTTCCGAACCGAACAAACCCATACCGATTTTGGAACGATCAGCAAGCGTGCATTTCACTAGTGTCCACTGTGATTCTTACAAGGCAGTGCAATAAACCGCAGCACCGTGTTGACTTCAACTTGTACCGCTGTGCTGTCCATTCTCTCCCCTCCCATTGTAACATGCGCAACGAGATTGCGTTGGGTCCTTGCGCAAACACCAGAACCGAGCCTTGGGAGCTCCCAACCCAACACAACCATCTTTGAAACCCTTGGACCAAAGTAAAACCAACCAAACCACACGCTGCAAATCAAGGCACAACAGTGAATGCAATGATTTCAGTTTCCTTACTGTGCATCGTCGTCTAGGGTTTCGACGACGACAATGGCTGCAATCCTATCCCCACCGGACCTGCCGAGGCAAATCAAATAAGCACAGAACGGACATCCAGCCTCAAGAAGAACGTTCTTCATCTTCAATTCAAAATTCGTAAGATTATTGCTTTCCTGAAATCGGTCTTTATTGACTTCATTGGAATGTGTTCTAACCATTAGGAGTAGTCTCACTGGCCGATGCGGTAGGCCTTATGAAGCAGGCAGAGTCTAATCTGCCTAAACCGCCGGAGAATATGGCGACCTTCGAAGCAGCGTGGAGACCGCAGGATCCCGGCTCTTCCGCCGGGTCGTCTCATTTCTCTTTCCAAGACACTCGATTTGAGCCGCGTTATCAGGTCTCCAGGTCTAACTTCATAGAAGACACGTTTGTTCCGCTGCCTGACGATGACGATGTCCCTTTCAGTTCTGCGGCTATCCATAGTTCCCGAGGAGACTCTAAGCCGCGGCCCGGAAGCCGGTCCTTCGGAGCAAAGGACCGTCGCGATCTATACTCACCCCCTCGGAGCGATTCCCCTTCCGGTCAGAAACCCGTTAGTAGCCGCTCCGGTACTGGTCGTAGCCTCGCCAAGACCTTTTCCTTGCGCATTCCTGAGAACTTTGAAGACTCGTCGTCTCCTCAGAGCCGTAGATCGCTCTCCCCTCGGCAAGCCAACGCCCACGCTCGCGCTTACTCTCAATCCCACTCTCATTCTCACACTCCCGCGGGACACAGCAGCAGCTTATTATCCGGCATGCTCAGTCCGCGCCCGGGCCGAGCGCCGCGCGCGATGCGCAAGGGCCGCTCCGCGACGTCGATGGTTCTGGATCATGCCGTTGACGAGGCGGCTCTTATGGAGGACGAGGCGGCGAACGACGGCGGCGTCGGGTGGGACGAGGACGGCGCAGCGGCGGCGCGACGCGTCCACGCGAAAGCGCTCGCCGCGATCGCGACGCCCCGGGCACGCGGGCCGAAGAACAACGACTGGAGTAACGCGCGCAAGACTTCCGAGTGGGGTGCCGCTTCTGCCGCCGCTGTTTCGCTTTCTAGTTCGAGTTCGGGCTCGCGCACGGGCTCTATGGCTGCTGCGGCAGCAGCGGCGGTGCATGTTTCGCCTGAACGGGGTGGTAACAGCCGGTTGCATTCGCGAGCGCGAAGCTCTTCGCAGGTGGACGCTGAGCGAAGCTCGTCACCTTGGGGAAGCGGGACGGGGCGAACGGCTGGCGGAGGCGCGGATGGTGGAAGCGCGGGCGGAGAAAGCGCGTTTGCGGGAGCCAGGAGGGGGAGAGTGGGCGGAGGAGGCGTAGGGGCGGGTTCCGCGGTGGGTAAGCCGACAAGCGCGTTCGAAGCACGTGTCGCGCCGCCGATGGTGGAGAGGCCGCCCGTACCTGAAGGCCTGCAGGATCTCTCCTTGTTTTACGGCGCTTCGAGGGAGGAGGTCGCGAGTAGCGACAGCGTTATATTTAACCCCGCAGGCGGCGCCGTAACCGATCATAACTCGGACATAGCGCTCCTGATCAACTCGCCTGCTTCCGTTGCCCCTGCTTCTGCCGCTTCTGCGGGAGGTGGTGGTGCTGCGGCTGGTGGTGGTGGCGCGGCGGAAGCGGCACCACCGTCGCCACGAGGTCTGCATGTTTCGCCGAAGTCCACGTGGACCAATCAGAAACCAGCAACGCAGGGAAGAGTGGCAGGTGGCGGCGGGAGGGCTCACGCGGGAGCGGCCGCGGCAGGAGCGCCGGGAATAGGCGCATCTGGGGCAGGTGCATTTGGCGCAGGCCCGAGCGCAATCTCGCCCATGGCGGCAGCCGCCATTCGCGGCGGCGGATTATCAGCCATGTCGCCGCGCCTGCTGAAATTTCTGGTCGAGGATAAGCCGGGGGTGGCGGAGCGGGGCGCGGGGAGAGCAGGGGAGGGGAAGCGCGGGGGCGGAGACAGGCGCTTGCGCCAGAGCGGAAGCGGGGACGAGACCGCGGAAGGGAGGGGGTCTTCAGGGGGAGACGAGCAGGGAAGGGTATCGATGCGGTCGCGCAGCGGGCCGCTCTCCGCGCGAGCCAGATCACGCGCCGCTGCGACCATAAGTGGCGCGTTCCGGATCCCCGGGCCGCTACACTCCCCGCTTTCCGGCTCCCCCGCGTCGTCCGATTCGGTATTGTCGTCTCCGCTAGCCCTCCCTGCGCCATCCCCGTTAGCGCCGTCCTCGAGTTTCGGTAGAAGCGCCGGAGGCGCAGCAGCGGGTGCCGCTCACGGGAGAAGCGGTGCGGGCAGTGCGTCAGTTCCCTCCCCTACGCGCACCTCCCCTACAATCACATCTCCCACCAAGCCAACCTCTCCGCTAGGCCCCGCCTCTGCCGCCGCTACCGCGGGGCCGTCCGCGTCTGCTGCGCAACCATTGGCGGCTCCCGCGGGGTTCCGGCGGCCCGCCGCCCTTGATCTTGGACGGCTGCTCGCGCCCGGCGCTCCAGGCGGGGAGGAATCCGACGGCGAGGATGAGTTCAGCGATGACGACGCTGACGTCAGCGAGGCCGCGGCTGTACCAGGCCCGGCCGAGCCGCCAGGATCGGGGAGAGGTGTGGCGACAGGCTCGGGAACAGCCGCCGATCGCGGGGAGCGGCTGGAGGGGGTTGAGGTGAGGCTGGAGCGGCGGTCGACGGGGAACGCGCAGCACGCGGAGAGGGGAAGGGCGGACGGGAGCCTGGGGAACGCGGAGCGCCCCCGCAGCAGCCCTGTAGGCCTCGACTCGGCACTTAGCTTCGACCGCCGAACCAGCCCTGTAGGTTCGGGCACTGTAGATAAGTCCGGGTTGGGAGGCGTCGGCGGAGGCGGAGGAGGAGGCGGCGGGGGAGCGGGGGGGAGAGCGGGCGCGGGTAGGGTGCAAAGCACGAAGAGCCCAGCGCGGGCAACGAGGGGCGGGAGTCCGAGTGTTTCGGCTGCTGCTGCTGCCGAGGACGCGTATAACGCGAACGCGCGAGTCCTCCCTCCGTCGTTGTCGTTTTCCGGGAGTGACTTGGCGATTAACACCATCGACCGCCGAACTTCCGCCAATGAGTACATTGATTTCCCCCCGGCGGCTTCCCCCGCCGATTACTCCCCGGACGTTAACATCTCCCCCACGCAGCAGGCGCAACAGCAGGCGCAACAGCAGCAGAGGGCTAGCAGTGCCAAGCCTGGCAGGCAGGCAAGCGGACAGGCCGGTATGGGCGGCCGTACGGGTAAGACTGGAAGCAGCGGAAATAGCCCGGTAGGCTTGGCAGCGGCGGCAGGTTCGGGGACAGGTTCGGGAGGTTTCGGGGCGGGCACAGGCACAGGCACAAGTGGGGGCATGGGAATGCCAAAGAGTGCGACTCTGGACTCGGGCATGGGCGGAACCCATGCGGACTCAATGAAAGCTTCTCATTTTGACGATAACGATAACGATGACGATAACGATAACGATAACGAGAACGGTAACGAGGATAGTGATGATGACGACGACGCTATTTTGCTGCTGCCAGAAGACGTTCCGAGCGCCGACGCCGCAGGACCTAGCTCGGCGCGCAGCAAGTCAAAAGCTGCGCCAGCGGCACCGTTAGCGTCAGCGTCAACGTTTACGTCGTCAGCGGTACCTTTAGCGTCAGCGCCCGGGCAGGGTGGGAAGGGGGCGTTTTCCGAGCGCGTGCGCGGGTTTGCGTCGCCCAGGCGCGTGGAGAGACCCCCCGACCCCATGGACCGCCTCCGCGGATTCGTCTCCCCGCGCGCACGCATCCGGGAGGGTCCAGCCGCGGGGCAGAGCGAGGGAAGCACATTTGGCGCGGATGCTGGTCGTGCCACTGGCGGTGGGGGCCGGGGCGGGGGAGCGGGGGGAAGGGGTGGCGCAGCAGCGGCGGAGGAGAATCAACTGGGGGGGACGATTTGGCAGCAGTATCAACGGCCGCACGGCCAGCAGCAGCAGCTGCCGCAGCAGCAGACGCAGCAGCAGCAGCAGACGCAGACGCAGCAGCAAGGGGAAACGGATAGCAAAGGGAACCGCAGGCGGCCGAATCTGCGGCCGTTACAGCTAGACGCGCTGGTTACCACCCCCAGAGGCCGCGCCCGCACGCACCTCCCCGCGGGGGGTCCTCTTTCCGCACGCGCTGCTGGTCCAGGCCCGAGCAGCAACGTCTTCCGCCAAAGGGGCGCGGGCGGGGGCAGAGGGGGAGGCGCGGGGTGGGATGGGGACGCGCCAATGGCAGCGCCTGCAGGAGCGGGGGAGGGGCAGGGGGGGCGGGGGCATATGGCAATGGCTATGCCTCCCCTTTGGCACAGAAGTCCGCGGGCGGGGGGAAGCGGGTTGAATCTAGGCGCAATCACCCCCACTGCTGCTTCCGCCTCTTCCGCCGCGGGTGCAAGCGGGGGGAGAGGCGGGGCGTCTGCTGCTGCTGGTCCTCCGGGAGGGGGGGAGAGAGGGGGGGGCGCGGGAATGGGGGAGAATAGCAGCAGCCCTAAGTACTACGTTGCGCTTAAGAGCCCCCGCGCGCCCGCGGATGCGCCCAGGCGCGCCAATAAGAGCCCCAAAACGCCCCGCGGGGAGGTGCTATCTGGGAAAGGCGCGGGCGAGGGGGGCATGGGCGGAAGCACCACTGCCGGTTCTGGGTGGGGAGGCGGCGGGGCAGGCGGCGGGGCAGGCGGAGGGGGTGGCGGAGGCGGAGGCGGAGGGGGAGGTCAGAGGGAGGGCGGCAAGAGGCGGGGACTGGCGTCATGGGGAGGCGGGGGAACGCTGGGCGCAGCAGTGGACACTTTCAGCCGCAGCCTGAGCGCCCACCCCGTCAGCCCTAGGGCGGGTCCACCTGGGGCAGGCGCAGGGGGAGGGGGAGGCGCAGGGGGAGGGTTGATGACAGCGGAAGCTGCAGCCGCGTTCGACGCGCATGCTAGACGAACCATGGCTGCCCCCCCCAACCCTTCCTATCATGCGCTCCCTACCCCCTCCCTCCGACCCTCGCCCACAGCTGCTGCTGCCGCCGCTGCTGCGGCCGCTGTCGCTGCTGCTGCTGGTGGCGGGGGCAGCGGCGGGGGGAGCAGCAGCAGCGTGCGAGGGGGTGGGAGCAGCGGCGCTGGCGGTGCTGACATGGGCGCAGGAGGGGGGGCGGGCGGGGCAGGGGGCGCAGGAAGGGGCGCAGGAGGGGGCATGGGCATGGGGATGGGGATGGGGATGGGGATTGGCATGGGTGTGTTTCAGCAGGGGTTTTCTGATGTGACGCGGCGGTATGAGATGGGGCGGAAGGTGGGGCAGGGGCGGAAGGGGGTGACTGTATACCAGTGCGTGGAAAGGCGCTCAGGCAGGCAGTACGCGTGTAAGACTATAGACAAGGTGACTCTAACGGGGGGCAGGAAAGAGGAGGCGGTTCGGACGGAGGTGGCGATTATGAGGAAGCTGCAGGGGCATCCGCACATAGTGGAGATTAAAGACACGGCGGAAGATGCTAAGGTGAGTCAATGTCACCTCTAATAGTAATGCTGCGTTTGAGGAAGCTGCAGGGGCATCCGCATATAGTGGAGATTAAAGACACTGCGGAAGATGCTAAGGTAAGTATGTTTGTCCAATCCCCCCCCCTCCCCCCCCGTGTTTCTTCCTCTCCCTGCCTCCCTCCTTCACCCGCTCACTTCCCAACCATTCCAACCTTGCATCTTCCGCTCGTCCCCCCGGCTCTCCCACCCTCCCCTCCTCTCCCCCTTCAGTTCGTGCACATAATCATGGAGATGTGTTCAGGGGGCGACCTGCTAGACCACATCAAGTGCATCTCCGAGAGGGAGGCCGCCACCATCGTGCGCGTGCTCGTGCAGGCCATCCACTGTCTGCCCACCTTGCCTACACGCACCGCTCCCGTGAATACCCCCAGCACCAGAGACGCTGCCAACCCCCTCCTCCTCCTCCTCTTCTCTTCCCTCCCCTCTCTCCCTCTTCCCCGCTTCTCCTCCCTCCCCTCTCCCCCTTCAGTTCGTGCACATAATAATGGAGATGTGTTCGGGAGGCGACCTGCTGGATCACATCAACACGCAGCTGTGCATCTCCGAGAGGGAGGCCGCTACCATCGTGCGCGTGCTCGTGCAGACCATCCACTTCTGCCACGTCAGCGGCATCATGCACCGCGATCTCAAGCCCGAGAACGTGCTGCTCGGCTCGCCCGGCCAGTGGTGGGACCTGCGCGTGGCGGATTTCGGCTTTTCTGTGCCGCTCAGAGCAGGTGAGCGGCGGAGGAGAGGGCACAGGGTGCACGGGACAGGGCAGGTGAATGGTGTGCAGGGCACACAGGGTGCATGGGACAGGGCAGGTGAATGGTGTGCAGGGCACACAGGGTGCATGGGACAGGGCAGGTGAATGGTGTGCAGGGCACACAGGGTGCATGGGACAGGGCAGGTGAATGGTGTGCAGGGCACACAGGGTGCATGGGACAGGGCAGGTGAAGGGTGAGCGGCGGAGGAGAGGGTAGGTGTAGGGCTGTCACACCAGAGAGTGGGTGGGTGCATTGGGGAGCAGGCAAGGGGAGAGCAGGGCAGGGGAGGGGTGAGCTCAGAGCAGGTGAGGGGAGAAGGGGTGAGTGTTGAGCAGGGCAGGGGTATCATGGCACACACACGGTGCAGGGGTGTGGGAGCAGTTACCCACACACACGGTGCAGGGGTGTGGGAGCAGTTACCCACACACACGGTGCAGGGGTGTGGGAGCAGTTACCCACACACACGGCGCAGGGGTGTGGGAGCAGTTACCCACACACACGGTGCAGGGGTGTGGGAGCAGTTACCCACACACACGGTGCAGGGGTGTGGGAGCAGTTACCCACACACATGGTGCAGGGGTGTGGGAGCAGTTACCCACACACACGGTGCAGGGGTGTGGGAGCAGTTACCCACACACCCCCACCCCCACTCCCTCCCACCCCCATCGCCATCCCTCCGCTTCCAACCCCAAATGGCGAATCCAGGCCAGCGCATGCAGGGGTATGCGGGCGCGCCCTTCTACATGCCCCCTGATGGGTTAGACGGGCTGTGCTGTACGGCGGCCACCACTGAGGCTGCCGTCTGGAGCCTGGTGTCCCCAACCCTCTTCCAACCCTACCCCAACCTCCACCGTCATGCACACCAGCGCATGAAGGGGTACGCCGGGCCGCCCTTCTACATGGCGCCAGAGGTTCTGGATGTACGGTACAGGCACGAGGCAGGCATCTGGAGCCTGGGTGACATCCTGTTGCCTTGCCGCCAACTCCAACTTGAACCCCATCCCCCAACCCCAACCCTGCAGGCCAGCGCATGAAGGGGTATGCCGGGTCGCCCTTCTACATGGCCCCTGAGGTGCTGGACGGGCTGTACGGCCACGAGGCAGACATCTGGAGCCTGGGAGTCATCCTCTACACGCTGCTTTCCCAGAAGCTTCCCTTCTGGGACGACACGGACGCGGGCGTGTATGAGCTGATCCGGCGCTGCGAGGTGGACACGAGCACTGGCGTGTGGCCGCTGGTGTCAGGGGCGGCAAAGGACCTCGTGCACCGCATGCTAGCCTTCGACCCCAACCACCGCCTGCCCCTGCATCTGATTCTCGGTATGTGTGCCACTGCCCCTGATGGTATGGCTGTGAGGTGAGGTGAGGTGGACACGAGCTCGGGCGTGTGGCTGCTGGTGTCGGGAGCAGCCAAGGACCTCGTGCACCGCATGCTGGCCTTCGACCCCAACCACCGCCTGCCGCTTCATCTCATCCTAGGTATGAACTTCCTTGCAATTTGTTGCACCTGGTTCTAGGTTTGGGGGGCATGGTTGACGGCATGGCTGTGAAGTGGACACGAGCTCGGCCGTGTGGCCGCTGGTGTCGGGGGCAGCAAATGATCTCATGCATCGCATGCTGGCGTTTGTTCCGAACCACCGCCTGCCCCTGCATCTCATTCTCGGTAAGAGTGCTGCTGCTGCACAGGGTTTCTATTGAGGTTCTTCTTCTTGGAAAGTGTGTGAGGTGGACACGAGCTCGGGCGTGTGGCTGCTGGTGTCGGGTGCGGCTAAAGACCTCGTGCACCGCGTGCCGACGTTTGATCCGAATCACCGCCTGCCGCTGCACCTCATTCTAGATACGTATGCGATTGCATGTCATTTTAGGTAAGGGTGCTCTCAAGTGCGGTAGCTTCTGAGGCACCTCAAAGAATCCGCCCCTATTTTCCCACCCCACCATCCCCACCATCCCCACCCCACCATCCCCACCCCCCATCCCCACCATCCCCACCATCCGCACCCCCCATCCCCACCATACCCCGCATTATCACAGACTATCCATGGGTGGTCACCAACACCACAGTCGACATCCCCCGCGTGCCGTGTAGTGTGTCACTTTCTGAGGCACCTCAAACAATCCACTCCCCTTTTCCCATCCCCGTCTCTCCCCCCCCCCCCCTCCACACACACACCACCACAGACCATCCATGGGTGGTCACTAACACGACAGTCGACATCCCCCGTGTGCCATCCAGCGCGTCAGTTTCCTCAGAAACTTCCTCTCTCGAGCCGCACTCGTCCGGGCGGCGAAAGAAAGATATTGCTCGATCTGCTGGGACCATCTTTTCGTCCCGTGCCCAACCGCAAGCCATGCGTGCTGCTGCCGCCGCCGCTGCTGCTGCTGCCGCCGGTGGTGGTGGGGGGAGTGATGGTGATGATGATGAGGAGGAGAGTGTGGGAGGCAAGGGGGAGTGAGGAGGGAAGAGTACTGGGGACTAGACGGTTAGTGGGGACTGGTTGAGGGCTTAGAGTGACTGTAAGGGGTGCTGTGTTGCAGAGAGCAAGCAAACACAGACCTCATCCAAGAAGTCACTGTGCAGTGTGGTGCAGTGCGGTGTGGTGGCTAACATACTTGTGGCTCCAAGTGTTATGCTCTCGTCTGATGATGCACAAAGGAGCACCGGTCCCGTCTTATTGGTTAAGACACTACTTGACGAGAGGGTTGACGATCCGAGACTAGGAGTTGGCTGGTTTCCGCAGCATCGTACGCTGGCTGCGACGACCACTGCTTTCTTGAACTGGAGGGGTGTTTTGGGTTTCAGAACAGATTCGCTTTCCATGGCCAAAAGTGAAGCGGTCCTGCAAGTAGTGGTTTGTTGCTGATTCGACTTTCTGATCCGTTATCACTGAGATGTGATTTTGACTTGAATGTGGCTAACTCTCTGTATTATATTTATCTTCTTACGTCTACATAAACTGATGTGTGTCTCTTGCTTTGACGAAGCAGGTTGCATCGGGGTGCGTGATTTTCCAATATACCCGTCTGGTTACCAATTTTCTCGAAACCCCGTCTCGCATCCTCCTCCTGTCAGACCCCATTTCACTTGGGAGCCGCGTCAATGTTCCATTCCGAGGTTTTATCTGATCGCCCTCCATATCCCATGTACACGTGTTGAAGGCCGTTGCCTCAGTTCTAGCTTACGCGGCGGGATGCCTTTGGCTGGGGAACAGTGGGGTGCGGGAAAGCGCGGCAAGCGGGGGGAGAAGTTTGAGCGCGTGGGGTGGTCCGCTGCAATGGCGCAGTCCTCCCCCCTTGCGCACTCTCTTCCCGCCGATGCCCCCGCGAACTCCGCGCTCGCGTGTCGTGTCCATCCCGCGCATTCCGCTAGCAGCTCACCCGCCCCGCTCGTCACTTCAGCCACCGAGTTTCCCTCGATTACTGACGAAGCTTCGAAGGAAGCTTCGGAAACGGTTCGCTCCTTGGAGTTCGAAACCAATAGCCCCGCTGCCGCCGCGAGACGGCCAAAGAAATTCTCCTCGCTATTGTCACACTCCGGTATTAGCAGCGACATGCGAGCGTGCTCCTCGGGAGCAGCCGCCTCCACTCTCGCGTCGCCAGCGAGTTTCGAGACGTCCCGAAACTCGTCTGCTGCCGCGTCGCCAGGGGCGGGTCCCCCGGGAGCGGCGGCGTGCAGAGAGGCCGTAACGAGTGAGCTTCTGCGAAGATTCGGATGGGCGGACAGGGAGGTGGTGGAAGGGGTGCTGGCGGCGGTGGGGGGGGAGCGAGCAGCCGCGGAAGCAATACTTGCGGATATGGGGGGAGAGGGGGCGATGGGGGGAATGGGGGGGAATGGGGGAGAGGGGGCCATGGGAGGAACGTGTGAAAGGGTAGCGGGAGCGGGTGTGGGGGGCGAGGCGGATAGGAGGGCGGGAGAGATGGAGGAGGAAGGCGGGAAGCCGAGGGAGGCTGATGGCCATGATGATGTGGATGGTGACTGTGATGACGTGGATGTCTTCCGGACGTTCCGAGCAGAGGCTTTAGCAGCATCAAGGTGAGAGAGCGGTGATAGCAGCAGAGGGAGAGGCGATAGCAGGCCTCACATCCTTGTTTCCTCTCCGTCTCCGCTCTCCCTTGCTTCATGCTGCATTCTTTCCTCCCCTGTCCTCGCCTTTCCGTTGCTTTCCTCTCCTCTCCTCTCCTCTCCTCTCCTCTCCTCTCCTCTCCTCTCCTCTCCTCTCATCTGATCTCATCTCATCTCATCCCCCACCAATCGATTTTCGTTTCCCGTTGCTCACTTCTCACACCGTCCCCTCTTTTCCTGCTCCTTTTCAGAGCACACGCACGGCTCGCGGGACAAGCTGCCCGAGCATACGACAGGGGCGACCACGCAGCTGCCCGGCAACTCTCCCACGCGTCAAGAGAGGAGAAGGAGCGGGCAGAGAGCCTCCACACGGAAGCTGCTGGGAAGATTCTGGCGCACAGGAACAGGGGGCGGTCCTTGTGGGAGCTGGATCTGCACGGGCTCTTACCGGGGGAGGCTGTATCCGCGCTGGAGGGGAGGTTGAGGCAGCTGGAAGGGCAGGCGGGTGTGAGTGTGCAGGAGAATGCTGCAGCAAGGGAGGCGTCTGTAGAAGAGCAGACAGGGAGGAGCAGCATTGGTGCAGCAGAAGAGCAGGTGACAGCAGAAGAGCAGGTGTGGCGGAGCAGTGGTGTGGTTCTCCCAGCTAAGGTGCTGTCGTCAGCTCGGCCTGAGCTGATGGTCATCACTGGTGAGTGCCCAGAATAATGGTGCTTGGATGTTGATTGGCGAGGTTGCTGTGCAGCTGCAACAGCCTGATTTTACATGTTGGGTTTTATTCCTGAGCTGATGCTTGTAAATGCATGCACGTGCAAGGCGCTTGGACGGATGAACGGGTCACTTCAAATTCTTCAGGCTTCTCCATACTGATGTGTGCTTTCTTGTCCCCAACAACTATATGCTGCTTGCAGGTGTGGGGCGGCACAGCAGTGGGGGGCAGCCGAATTTGCCAATGGCGGTGAAGAGATTTCTCCATGAAGCAAGGTACCCAGCTTGTTTCTTGTTTTGCATACTTGATGAAGCACTTACGGTACATCTCTCATGTGAATGCTGGCCTTAGATCTTGTTAGCGTTTGCTGTAATTTTTGTTCCCATTCAGGTATTCTTACAGGGATGCAAGAGCTGGTGTGATTGGGGTGAGGCCCAGGCTTACCATGCCCAAGTAAAGGAAGTCAAATGTATTTTTCATATGTATTGTATTTATATAATGTTTCACATCCTACTTTAATGCATGTGTTACTCAAATTATTCCTAATGGCTGAACATTATCAAGGGGGTTGCTCATAACGTACCAGTACTTCTGAAATGCTCTCTGTACTGTATCGAGTTTTGCAGAGTGCCCACGTCACCTCAGCCAGAACGGATGGTTGCGATGCGATTGTCGAAGCTATTGTAGTGACCGATGAAAAGGGAGCCCATCTGTTCTGCAAGTGTTCGACGCTGCCGAACCTGTGCGACTTTTCTGTCCCCTTGCCATACCTCCGAACGAAGCTCGTTACCCGAGCATACAGTTCCCAGACCACAACCATCTCAGGTCTGGTCTCAGAGTTGACACGTGCCACCACACAGGTGGTTCCCGCCCATTCATTCATCCGACCAGCTTCAATGGCCTCGATTTGCCACGTCAACGCATCGCCACGCATTTTCTTCACTTCACACTGCCCTTGGGATTCGCGGGATGCGTCGGCCAAGCCCAGCCATTCGGAATCGTCTGAAACCTGTGTGTGCGGGTGATATTGTACTCTACTCTATTCTGAATCTGCTCGCCCCACCAAACTACCAGTGACAACCATCTAAGAAAGGAAAGCTTGCTTCCATCACCTGCTGAATGTTTATGACAATCCTTTTATCAAGTGCTGCACCGTGAGGAATCTCTCACGCATATCTTATTACTGATAGGGGTCGTTGAGTTTGAAGTAAGGGTCGACCTATCAGTAGTTATCAGGATAGTAGCGTCCTCGTCTTCTATAGCAAAAAAATATCACACTGATTTCCACTTGGTCGGCTGATCGTTCTGAGGGATGGCAACCGTACGCGTTCCAACTCAAGCGACATCTCAGTTCGCTAAATTAAGTAGCACGTCACGGTCTAGGTCATCCAATCGCAAACCTCCAAGTAACTCAGCTCGTTTTTCCAGTCAGAACCTCTCTGCGAAAGTCGGTCTCCGAAGCAGTTCAAGTACCGTCACGCATTCCTTAACTAAGGGCCAAGTTCGTTCTGATGCTTCCAGTCCCCGCCATACTACCTGCGCTGTCGCCGCTTCTCCCGCCGTTGCCGACAACCCACCCTCTCTCTTAGACCTTGTGCCAGAGATCAAAATTGAGAAGCTCGATATTTCCTTCCCAGCTTACAATCCCGAAGATACCGCCGGCACACTTGACCTGATCGTCGTCGGCGCCGGTCCCGCCGGCTTATCCGTCGCACAGCAAGTAGCGTCGCACGGCATGAAAGTATGCTGCGTGGACCCTGCTCCCGAGTCCATGTGGCCAAATAACTACGGCGTGTGGGTCGACGAATTCGAGGCGCTAGACCTGACGGACTGTCTAGATTACGTTTGGCAAAAAGCCGTGGTGTATTTAGACGACGGCAAGCAGAAGTATCTGGACCGGCCGTACGGGAGGGTGAGCCGGCGAGCACTAAAGATGAAGATGGCGTCGCAATGCATCAAGAATGGGGTCACCTTCCACACAGCTAAGGTACGTACTCCCAAGCAAGCCCGCGTGTAGCTACATTGCAATGTTTTCAGAAAATGAAGTTCGTGTAAAGTAGTTTTCTACCTAAGTTGGAGCCAAGTTGGCAAACATTGAGGTCTGAGTTTATTCTTGGCATCGCAGGTGGACAGCGTGGAGCACACAGCAGATAACTCGGTGGTGCGATGCAGCGACGGCACGGAGATTAGAGCGGCGCTGGTGCTGGACGCCACAGGCTTCTCGCGACGCCTCGTGCAGTACTCGCAGCCGTACAACCCGGGCTACCAGGCCGCGTGGGGAATCGTTGCCGAGGTATGTGTGGGTGCGAATGATTACGGGCTGCGGAATGAACAGTACGAAAAGGAGAGAAAATAACGATAAGATTTGGCAAGAGAAAAGTTGCAAGTGCCACGAAATCGCACATTAGGGTATTTCTTTTGAACGCGTGTTCAGCAAAGACCGTTTTCTGATTAGGAAGATGAATGGAAAGTGAATCTGGCTTCCCAACCCAACTAAAAACAACGTAAAGCGAAGGTGATCAGGCACAGGTGGAAGGAACTCGTGCACACAGGACAAAAAGGGCGATACTGGCTTTTCTCCCACCAAACGTGCTCGCGCACTTCTTCCTGCTCGTTGCCTCAGGTGGACTCACATCCGTTCGCGCTGGACCAGATGGTCTTCATGGACTGGCGTATCTCACTTACAC